GCACGTGGTGGCTTTTCTTTTGAAGCATTCACAGTAACTCTAATGTATTTTTTACCAAGGTTAGCATTGAAAGGAAATTGTTCATCAAAAATGTGTCATCAAATCAAGACATAATATTTCTGCCATTGGTTTTACACACAGCTACCACTGCAGTCGAAAAATAAAGGACTTATGACTTTTAGAATAAATATAACACTTAATGCTTGTAAGATTGTGCAGCTTGGTTAAGGATGAGTTATTTCACAGCCTCATCCACAACACAATTTTGTCTTGGTTTATTAATCTTGGATATGTTTAATTAATGATTCTCTTTGCGCTTTCATGCTTGTTTATCCCTAGCATGTAAGCCATGACTCGGGATTAAATCTTTCTCCAACAAACTTTGAGACTTTGACTGACAACGTGGTGTGTCAGTTTGAAGAAAAGCTCTCTGCTCTGCACTTCAGCGTGTCGTAAAGCAGCCTCTCTATTAGACCTGGGCTAAAACATATCTGACAGTGAATACATTTGAAAAAGCTCTTAGGTGTGTTTGATGTCCGCCGAAAGCTCTTAGATGTGTTTGATGTCCGCCACATGAACACCTCATGACATATAAAAAAAGTCAACTCTTATTTCCTTCTGCTAATATACACTGAACAAAAATATAAATGCAACACTTTTGTATTTGCTCCCATTTTTCATGAGATGAACTCAAAGATCTAAAACATTTTCTATATACACAAAATAACCATTTCTCTCAAATATTGTTCACAAATCTGAAAAGATCTGTGATAGTGAGCACTTCTCCTTTGCCGAGAGTATCCATCCCACCTCACAGGTGTGGCATATCAAGATGCTGATTAGACAGCATGATTATTGCACAGGTGTGCCTTAGGCTGGCCACAATAAAAGGCCACTCTGAAACGTGCAGTTTTGCTTTATTGGGGGGGTCTGGGGGGGGTCCGAAAACCAGTCAGTATCTGGTGTGACCACCATTTGCCTCACGCAGTGAAACACATCTCCTTCGCATAGAGTTGATCAGGTTGTTGAATGTGGCCTGTGGAATGTTGGTCCACTCCTCTTCAATGGCTGTGCCAAGTTGCTGGATATTGGCAGGAACTGGAACACGCTGTCGTATACCCCAATCCAGAACATCCCAAACATGCTCAATGGGTGACATGTCCGGTGAGTATGCTGGCCATGCAAGAACTGGGATGTTTTCAGCCTCCAGGAATTGTGTACAGATCCTTGCAACATAGGGCCATGCATTATCATGCTGCAACATGAGGTGATGGTCGTGGATGAATGGCACAACAATGGGCCTCAGGATCTCGTCACGGTATCTCTGTGCATTCACAATGCCATCAATAAAATGCACCTGTGTTCGTCGTCCATAACATACGCCTGCCATACCATAACCCCACCACCACCATGGGCCACTCGATTCACAACATTGACATCAGAAAACCGCTCACCCACACGATGCTACACACGCTGTCTGCCATCTGCCCTGAACAGTGAAAACCGGGATTCATCCGTGAAGAGAACACCTCTCCAACGTGCCAGACGCCATCGAATGTGAGCATTTGCCCACTCAAGTCGGTTACGACGACGAACCGACTTGACGACGAGCATGCAGATGAGCTTCCCTGAGACGGTTTCTGACAGTTTGTGCAGAAATTCTTTGGTTATGCAAACCGATTGTTGCAGCAGCTGTCCGAGTGGCTGGTCTCAGACGATCTTGGAGGTGAACATGCTGGATCTGGAGGTCCTGGGCTGGTGTGGTTACACGTGGTCTGCGGTTGTGAGGCCGGTTGGATGTACTGCCACAGTTTTTGAAACGCCTTTGGAGACGGTTTATGGTAGAGAAATGAACATTCAATTCACGGGCAACAGCTCTGGTGGACATTCCTGCTGTCAGCATGCCAATTGCACGCTCCCTCAAAACTTGCAACATCTGTGGCATTGTGCTGTGTGATAAAACTGAACATTTTAGAGTGGCCTTTTATTGTGGCCAGCCTAAGGCACACCTGTGCAATAATCATGCTGTCTAATCAGCATCTTGATATGCCACACCTGTGAGGTGGGATGGATTATCTCGGCAAAGGAGAAGTGCTCACTATCACAGATTTTTTCAGATTTGTGAATAATATTTGAGATAAATGGTTATTTTGTGTATATAGAAAATGTTTTAGATCATTGATTTCATCTCATGAAAAATGGGAGCAAAAACAAAAGTGTTGCATTTATATTTTTGTTCAGTGTATAAACACCATCAGCAGCTTTCTTGCTCAAGTCGGCTATTTGTAGCTAATGGAAAGCTCATTCACTTGAATTTTTGGATTATACTCATATTCTAGAATCTAGACTATAAACTGACACATACTAGAATTTTGAAATTGTTTTGCATACTGGCAACACACACCTGTCCTTACAAGGGGTGTCAATAAAAACAAAATTATGTTACATGATATGATGTGTTGATTAATAAATCAAATGAATGCCTTGCATCACATCAACACAGCTTGGAAAAGGCCCTTAAATAAAGATATGTACAATTTTAAGAAACGTACACTATACTTGCACATGAGTTAAGCATTGAATAGGTATATCAAAAGGGGTTATTAGAATTAAACGTTTCATTTCCAATCATTTGCAGACGAGGGAGCCACCCAACTTGCAATAATACAAGGCTGGTTGAAAATGATATGTTATATGGCGTTAACCCACCAGAAGACAGGAGGAACACTTTTTCAAACTCCCACGACCCCTCCACTACCCCCATGAAATAGGTGGGCTGATTACTTACTGTAGTAAATGAATGTTTCCGTACTAGATATGTTAACCTCTATTAGCAGGGGAGCACATCACTTTCTTAGTGAGTTACTCAAATGAGTACCAGGAGTGGTACTCAGGGCTGCCCACGCAAAGTTATGTGTTCAGCCCCTCTGTTTCGTGAACGTTGACGGGGGGTGGGGGGGTGTCTGTGGGGGTGTGGTATTGAACGTTGACGGGAGGGGTGGGCGCTAGTGGAGAAAGCGCGTAGAACTCGCGCCGGAAGTTGTGGCACAATTCCGTTGTACACCAGGGGTCCTTCTCAGGTCGATTAAATGGAATCCTTGCGTCCCTCACTTGCGTCGTTTCCCTGCGTTTAGTCCCTCCCACCAGGGAAGCATGGAGAGACGCAAGGAAACCACGAGAAGCAGGGAAATGAGTTTTAAGAGCAATGGGACGTCCTTTTTTCCGGAGCGTCACGTGAAGCGACGTCCGTTTGTGATGACGCTGCACAGCTGTTCGTCTGACAGCAGCCAGCTCTGTCCCCTTTATTTTCACAAACACCCCCGCCTCTGTTAGTATACATTTACTGACACAAACATTTGCATCATCTGTTGTAGACCCAAATACATTAAATAAAATAAGAACTCATTCTCAAAAAAGATAAACGCCATTCTTAAAATGTATAAACGAAAAAAGCGATCATGAAAATGTTTCCAATAAATGAATAAAACATTTTTTACCACTTTGTTGTTCAGATATATCAAATATTTGTAACTAAATGATACATGAATTGAAATAAAACACAGTATAGACTGAGGAGTGACTCTCGTGAGTTTCATGTATTTTCTTCACTCCGCTGGGAAACTGCTCTCATGTCAAGAAGCATCAGATCAGTGCATGCACTGCATCGTCCAATCAGTGAGTGATACACAGTAAGGGGGTGGGGCGAGTATCTGTGGATTTCATCGGAGGATGGTCTGGTGGTTCCTCCATTATCGCTCCTCCATTATCGCTCCTCGCTCCTCCGGCAGAAATAAGCGCCTCAAGATGGCGCAGACAAATCAACTTCCGGTGATACCGAGGACCGAGGAAATGAAAATAATCAACCCACAACGTTAACAGCAGCCCCGTCTGTGCGCACGGCGACCGGTGTAGGTACCATATGTGTTCGGCCTACCAGATGTGTTCGGGGTCCGTTACGCTTACCAATGACGTCACGCATTGGCTGTACGGCAACCCAAGAGGAAATTTTACACGGCCAAATTCCGAATGTATTGAAACTCCAGACTCAACGTAAGAGCTTGAGCCTCTTCGGGGGGTGCTAACATTTAAACATAGACTTCATGTTTGTGCACCCCTGTCTATTAGCATATGGTATATAAAAAATATGTAACAATTTATTTTGATGACAGCGAAGGATACCCTGTGACCCACGTCTCAAATCTGAGGTTAAGCAAGGCTCACGGTTTAAAAAGGCTAAGGAGATGAAGAGACAAAAAAAACACATTCTCAGGTCCGCTTTAAAACTGGGAACCATCACACCAGTCCATAGGTACTCTGTAATATGTATTTAAGCAAGTTTAGAGTAAGCTAGCCAAACAACATCCAGAAACTTCAGCATCTACCTCTCTCCCCTAGTGCCATGTCCCCTTCTGACTTTCAGTGACCTCCATTGAGAGTTGGGCAGGTGTCATTCAAATACAACTAAAGACCTTTTACCACCAGCAAATAATCTAAATCCATCTACATCCAAATAAGTCCTCTGGAAATCAGAATTGCCTTTTTCCCCAGCATATTGAACCCTTTATACACACGCACTCTATCAACGAACAGTAAAGTGTATCGAGTATATCCTCTAAATGTTGTTTTGTAGAAACCACAGCTTCATAATCTGGATGGCTGCTACCCAAAAAATGAAAAGAGGGCTATTAAGGCTTAAGGGTTTAAGATGTAGAGTAAAATGACTAATCCGTAATGAATTCCACGCTTAATTATTTTTCTTATCTTTGAGATGATGTTAAGAGTTTTTTCGCTTAAGCTCAGGTAGATTTGAAATGTCTGGGGGCGCATGAATTTCCGAGGTGAGCTTAAACTTCACTTATCTGAAACAACATCATGTTAAGCTATGATAGAAATCTTGCGATCTCTTTTTATTTTTATCACGTTTTTCATTTACTAAGCAAGCTGGGAATACATCCTGTAACCCATACAGTGTTGTGCTTTTGAGAAACAGAACACAATACCTTGTTGACCTCCAGGATTTCTCTCCTCTCCTCGGTAGGGGGGCGGCTCTGGCCGGCCGAGCGATCCTCGTGTTTGGAGTTGTCATCCTCCACAAAGGGTATCAGTTGCTGGAAGAGAGACAGCAAACAACAATCCGGCTATATTATTGACTGTAAAACAATACGACTGCAAGAGGATCACTTCGGAAAGCTGACAACTGATTTGGATTGGGTTTATCAATTACAGTAGTACAGCTCACACAGCATCTACACTGTAAAATCATAGCGGTTTTACTTTAGTGGCAGTCAACTTCATTTCAAGAAAGGTTGTGAAGGACTGTATGTCTTTCTTTTTGTTCCTCCCTTCTCTTCTTCTGTCATGATCCATTTAAAAGCATGGTGCTGCATATACACATATTCCCTATATGCTCGCTGAGTGCATTTATAGGTCAGAGCTATGTGCGTATGAGAAAGCTCGGCGTGTAACTGCCATCCTACACTGAAGGCTTCCCTGTGCTGTCTGATAACCTTGTCTCCATGAAGTGAGGTGAAAATGGGGATTCTGTGTAAGCTCTTGAACACAGGCTGAGTTTCAGCCGTCTCTCTTCAACGTGGAGAGAGACAGTAGAGAGAACGAGTGGGAGATTAATTCATTTTTAAACGCTGTGTGTGCTTGACCTTCTTTGCTTGACACTACAGCGAGGCTGATGTGCGAGAACCTTCAGGCGAGTCGGCGTTCCTGAGAGCTGGCAGGGTCACCGCCTGCTGCTTTACATCATACTGCCCCCCAGTGGGCGCTTCAGACAGGAGGAGGCTGCAGACACATCAAGTCATGCGCGGATGACTTGAGAACACACTGTTCCTGGGCAATCGTACATAAAGGACATCAAAAGTCTTACACTAAGAATGTGTGATCGATGATAAGCTTGATGATCTTTGTAGAGCTGCTGAATGGACACAAAGTGTAAATGTAGATAAATGTCTGCGCTATTGTGCAGAGTTTCTAGGAAATGTAGCGTATCAGTTATGTTGACATAAAGTCAATTTTATAGTTTAACACTCAAATACCCACCAACCATTTTTCAGACCTACAGTATGGCGCCACTTTTAAGAGGGTTTCAAATAGAGCTTCAAAAACATATTCAGTAGTTTATTAGACTGGAAGCAATGAGTTCCTGTTGCAAGGACAGAATAACATCTCCAAAGTTTCCTCTCCAAACAAATACTATCATACCAGACAAGATCACAAACACAGATTAGGTGGGAAACACTTCAAAAAACTAGAAGCCAATAAAAACTGCTGTATACTCTGAAAACACACCTTGCTTCAATGATGACTTGGCAAGATGGTGATCTAAATCATGCCAAGTTGTTGCTATTCTTCTGCCTTTCTACATGGTTTGACCTGAGGTTGTGCAGCTGGAGAGGAGGCCCTGCGGACACTAGACGATGATTTGAGAAAGCTGCTCAGTCTGGAAGTAATGACTGACTGGTGTTTGAGTAAGGCTGGAGCCGGCCAACGTCAAGAATAACATGGAGTTAAAAAAAACTAAAGCAGACGGAGAGAGATGAAGACAAACTGATGAAATGTGAGGAAAGGACTGTAGGATCAGGATGGGCAGGAGAGCAGGGAGATGGGTGGAAACAAGGGCAAGAAAGAGGAGAACAAATAACACAAACAGAGAAAAGTAAAGAGTGATTACTTGAAACACGAAGACGAAGAGGGTAAGAAGTACAATGACATAAAGATGTCAACATCTGGATAACTTTCAGTGCTCCTGTCAGTTTCCAGGCCGAGGTTCATGCCAAGCTGCAACTCCAACTGAAGGTTGGAGAGAGAAAAGACGGCAAAGACATGTACGGGACATTATATCAGACAAACTATGAGCTTGTCTCTGGCTCGGGGAAACTTAAAGTAGGAAAAGAAGAACGTCTTTATGTGGATCATTTCAGATCGAAGCCAGTTACATATTGAATTTGAAATGCAGCGGGATGATTTGGCAGCTTCGGAGGGGAAAATGAAATATGCTGATTAGGGTGGGAAACACAAATGGAGAGTGTATTATTGTGTGTCTGTATGTGTGTGCATGTGTGTGTGCTTGTGTGAGTCATAACCCCTGCCTCTTCCACAGAAAGATGGATGTGGTTTCCTGCCTGACAGAGAAGAATGGGCTAATGAAGTTCTCCATGTTGCCTGGCTGAGGCAAAACGAAAAGGGTAGATGACAAGCTGAAAAGAAAATAACAACAAAATTGCGGGGTGAACGGGTAAGAGGAGAGGGAAATGAAAAAGAGTGGCTGAACAGAGCAGGAAATGACAGAGGGGAGGAACACTTGCATGACACAGAAAATGGAACGGCAGAAGAGAGAGCTGGAGAGGAAGAGAGTGAAACAAAGCCAACATTAATAAATAGATTCAAAACAAGAACGAGAAAAAGAGGGAGAAATAAGGAAATGAGGAGAGCCAATATATTAGAGGAAAAAAAGAGAAAATAGAAAGAAGAAGTAAAAAAGTGTTATTGGAAGAGGAAAAAAGGGATGCAGAGTGTGAGAGTTTGGGGAAAAGATGAGGATAAAGCTGCAACGAAAAAAACGACAGCTGGAAAGAAAAAAGGGGAAAGCGCTGACTGTGCATTTGCTCCAGCTGTTCATTAAACGGGTCTGTTGCTAATTAGGCTGCGATGAGGTCACACTGCCTGAGTCATTGATTCCACTTCCTGTTTCGGGCAGCCAATAGTGAGCGGCTGTCAGGCAGGCACCTGAATTCTGCGGGATGATAAATGGCGTGCATGCCGGAGCCAAAATCAGCAACCCAGACAAACACGGTGAGCTGAGCTATTGGCTGGTCAGCCCCGGGCCGGGCCTCAGCCTGGAGGGGAAACAGATAAACATTTAAATAAGGTGGAAATAAGAAGGGGGAAATAGCGAGGTGGAGTAATGAGTCAATGCGGTTTTACACCATTACAGCAAAGAAACATGTCAAAATGGGCCATGTCTCTATTGGTGTTGGCTCTAAATACCAAACAGATCATGCATTGTAGCATCCCATGAACCCCTCTGTTTCAGCCCTGTTTCAAAAGTGCTGATTAGGAGGAGTTTCAGGTGATAAGGTGGGGGGGGGGGGGGGGGGGGTTACCTTGGTTGGTTATTGGCTAATGGTTACACAAGCCAAAAAATCATTATGACATCATAAAGTGGCTCATTTTCAGACAGGTTTTTATATAAATGGATCAGAACAAAAAGTGAGCGAATCTTTTTTCCTGAAACTTTCAGAATCTCTTTAAACAGAGGGGACACATGTTTATGTATAAAATACATGAAAAAGTGGATTTTGCATAACAGGTGACCTTTAAAGGCTTTGATTTAGAGGCGAAACTGCAAAAGAGGGTCACTCAACATCCAGTGGATGGACCATAAGAAATGCTTCCGAGCGGTTGTATTATTCAATGTGGATAATGTCCATGATGGCAAGCATCACAAATGTGTTCCAATTTAAGAACAGTCTCCTCCCACATCCTCCTTTATCCTCAGTAGGAGTCTGGTGAGAGAGATTAGCTCCGAGCCAATCTGCAGAAATTGGGAAGGGACTGCCGCAGTAATAAATCCAATCAAACACTGGTGGATAGCCTCCCTGTAGCCCTGCATGGACCCTAACAGTGCATGAGCCTATGTGTGTTTGTGACATGTTACAGTGGGCCACATGCATGTCTACATGGTGTATATGAAGTTGGGCGGGTCACAATAGTGTGCATGCATGTGTATTTTTGTGTGTCTGAGCAGGCAAGCAGAAAGGAGTGTGTTTGAGCTCAAGTGCTGCTGTTCCTGAAGGTGGATGGTGACCGTAACCAGCAGTAAAGAGACCCTGGAGACTCACCTGAAGCGACCAATGAATCTGCTGCGAGCGGAGAAAAGAGACAGACCTAGAGGGAGTAGGTTAGATAAGAGTCCCCCTGGGTGGATGGGGGGGTGTGTGTGTGTGTGTGTGTGTGTGTGTGTGTGTGTGTGTGTGTGTGATCAGGGGGAGGGGGATGCAGTAACTATGGCCTGCTTCCTTTAAACTAACACCTTCCTAATTTAGCAGGCAGTGTGTGTGAAAAGCTGGGCTATATGAGGCATTGGCTGAAAGCAAGCACACCAAACAGAAATCCTGACAAGCTTATACAGCACGACTCAACATTGTTCGCATCTGGAAGGATCAATCAATCACGTCTAAATAAAAGTTGCTACGCAACAGCAATTGCAACCTCATCCAGTAAAAACTAAGTGCAGTAGGTGTATGCATTCAAACTCAATTCAAGGTTATGTGAGGTAGGATTCAAATCTAACTTATCTAACCACCAGAGGTTACATCTAAATAACTTTATGTTATACAGCATGTTCTCTGCCTGTCTGGTATTGTCCTCGCTGAGCATGAATCTTGTTAACTGTCAGATCAAAGTTGTATTTGTTGACTGTCTGTTCTTGATACTATATTAATATTATTCTGCTAAACTATGGACTACTAGGACATGGACAGTTTTCTCTGCCAACCTACCCTGTTAAAACAAATCAATTCAGTTACAATCAAAGCTATGTATGTCATTAAATGTCAATTAAAATAAAAGGGGGTCAATAAAATCACAATTTATTTTAAGGTAAAAACCCCAATAAGATCAAATAAATATATTCCCTAATTCTATGTTATTGCAATATTATATTTCATTTTGCCTTTCCAATTTAAATATATACAATGGAGTGAAACAAAGACAAACATTACTTCAAATAGAGGGTAACATGTTTCAAGCTAATAGTTTAGCTGGTTACCGTATGAAGCGCATGGAGAGAGAGGGGGGGGGCTGCAGGATGAGGTACTTTCAAATTCTGGCTTTTCTTTTTTTTGCCTTTTTCTATTAAAAAGGCCTAACCTGGTGTACCATTTGAATCACAATATGCTCAAAGTTTATAATGGCTTTTTTGCCCAATGCTGCCTAACCAAGCCTAAAGAGCAAAACATTAGCACATCGAAAACAACTGACATTCGAGACTGGATTACTGCAATGCTCTGTATGTGGGTATGGATCAGGCCTCAATTAGACGCCTCCAGCTAGTTCAGAATGCAGCTGCACGTCTTCTCACTGGCCATAAAAAGCGTGACCATATCACCCCAATTCTGGCTTCATTGCACTAGCTTCCAGTTCGGTCCAGAATAGATTTTAAACTTTTATTTGTTTTCAAAGCCCTAAATGGGCTGGCTCCTGCCTATATAGCCGAACTCCTCCATCGCTATACCCCAGGCAGAGCCTTAAGGTCGGCTGATCAGCTGTTGTTGATAGTGCCTAAGACCAGGCTTAAAACCCGAGGGCATCGAGCTTTCGCAGCAGCTGGCCCTAGGCTCTGGAATACTTTGCCCCTCCATGTGAGGTCGGCCCAGACCCTGGGGATTTTTAAATCAACACTTAAAACTCACTTTTTCTCTCTGGCTTTTGTTTAATTATTTATTTATTTAGTTATCCACAGAATTGATACTATTTTTAACATTATTAAATGTTATTAATATTATTGGGGTTTTATGGGGTTTCAGTTTTTTATGATTAGTAGGTTGGGGGCGGGGAGACCTTAGAGAAGGTTCTGACTAGACTGAATTGGTTGCTAAATCTGGTAGCTTGATGCTGAGTTGGTATAACCCTGAATTAGATTAGAACATTTTAGAAATATGAGGAATAACCTCTTGGTTTTATAAACCGTTTTGTAATTACTTCTTCATCCATTTTTGGATCTCTGCTGGGTTTTAAAACCCTAAACCCCCCCTTGGGGTTGGTCCCTCCCCTCTCCCTCTGCGGATCTAAGGTCTGGTAGAGGGGGATGGGGCTCAGAGTCGCTTATCCAGGCGGGGGAGTGCATCTGACGAAGAGATAGGTTGTTGTGCTCTCTATCTCTGTTTCTTATCCTACATTTTCACCCTGGACTAGAGGGAAAGCGTTCTTGGACGCCTTTTCAGCTGTTTCTTACTATATTCTTCCTACCCCGTTTACCTTGAACTATTCTAGGAGAGTGTGTTGACGTTGACTCCTGTACTTGTTTGTTCCCCAGTTCTTTCCTTTAACTGAATCTAGGAGAGGGCATTTAGGCCTCTCTACTTCCTTCTTTGGATTAGTTTAGTTTTTCACCCCCTTTCCCTTGAACTAATTTATACAGGAGAGTGTATTTACGTAGTCACGTTGTGCCTCTCTTCCTCTGTTTCTGGCTGTTCTTTTCATACCCTTGTTTCTCTGAGAAGAGAAGAAATACTATTCTAAAAAGGAGCTGACACATGGTGTCTCTTCACTTGTACACTTGAGGGGTCAGAGTTCATATGGTGAGGGATTCCATGAGCGGTATGCGCCGGCCTGTGCCTTTACCTTGGACTTCTAATAGAACTGCTCGGTCCTGATAGATTGAGTGGGGAAGTTCATGAGATCTTTCTAGAGGGTTATCAAGAATAACTTTTATCCAATGACCTTTTCCCTCTCTGTCTGTGTCTGTGTATTCTCTTGTTCCGATTAACCCAGCCAAATCTTTTTTTTTCTTGTTTTGTATCTATATCTACGCCGGGATCCGGAGTCGAGGCTGATCCTCTTGCTGTAGTCCTGTGTCTTGGATCCTCTATCCCGAGTTCTGGATTAAGTCGTGGACGTTCGGGTCGTGGCTGAACCTGTCTCTGCGGTCCTGCCTTGGGTCTCGTCATGCTGCTTCCCTGATGGCTTCCACAGGATTGTAGCTGACATCCTCGTGGATTCATCTTCTTATTACAGACACATGCATTTCCTAACATTCGGTCTATATGCTGTAAAATGTATTATCTCTTCGATTTACACACGGCATCTATTGCACGTCTGTCCGTCCTGGGAGAGGGATCCCTCCTCTGTTGCTCTCCCTGAGGTTTCTCCCATTGTTTCCCCTCAAACTGTGGGTTTTCTCTGGAAGTTTTTCCTTGTACGATGTGAGGGTCTAAGGATAGAGGGTGTCGTTTTTCTCATACTGATATTCTGAACAATCTGTGCTGTTGTATTTGCTGTAAAGTGTCTCTACTGTAGGCTATTTTTATTATATGTACAGCACTTTGGCTCGACCATAAATCGTTTATAAATGTGCTATATAAATAAAACTTGATTTGATTTGATTTGATTAAACATGATTCTTTGACTTCAGTATCCAAAATATTACCTGTATTCAAACTGGCAACATACAATTACCATCTAATCAAATCGATATGAGAAAATTAGGTCAAATGTTACCAGTGTCTCAATGTCTCACCTCTGGAGGAATAGATTCCATCCCGGCACAGTTTTCGTTGCATTTGTCGTAGACGAGGCGCAGCTTGCGGAACAGCACAGAGAGCATCCGGAGATGTTCCTGGAGCTTCCCCAGACGGTCCTGGTGAGTGTTGGGTTGGTAAGTGACTCCATTAGGCAGCTGAGGATCACCACAGAGGAAAACGTTGTGTTAAGCAAAGCACAACCCTACAATTTAGCTTGAGCTAATAAAAATAAACAGTCATTGATCCCTCCTGACTGCCAAATGCACTTCCAATCCTCTGTTGTTCCCCTAACTGGTAATATCTCATTAGAAGCAGTGCACTTATGCAGGGAAGATGAACGTTCACTGAATGAAAATACATGTATTCTTACTTAAGAGCAACCAGTCTTAAACATGCAGTAAATATCATTGTGTTCATGCAACATTACATTTTTTACATTACATGTTAGACGCTTTTTTTTTATGCTTACATACTCAAGACTGTGGACAATCCCCACAGGAGCAATTTGGGGTGAAGTGTCTTGCCCAGGGACACAACGACATGCTGACTGCAGTGGGATTTGAACCTGTGACCCCCTGAACCCAACACCTATGCACAACCCACTGCGCCACATGCCGCAACAATATGGTAAGTGGTTTTCATAATAAAAATAAAATCACACAAACAACTCCGCTACATCAAATACTAAATGCTTTAGTTGATAAACTTTTAAATGTTTTACTAAGTCTCATACTGAGGCGGCATCATTGTCTTCTAACTACAACGGGTGTTAAAGAAAAACAAGACAAGCCTTTGGGGCAAAACTGTCTGATTATAAACACCCTACATAACATGAAACAAGCCTGGGCAAGCAAAGAGAAGACAGAGTCAGAGAAACAGCAGGGAGACAGACGGACAGAGGGAGAGAGGCAGGGAAGAGAAGAGAAATTAAGAATTTTAGTATAAAGGCAGCTTGCGATCAGAAAAAGTCACAACAATGCTGTTTGTGTATTCTGTGGCGGAGGCGAGCTTGTTGGCCCGTCTCTGATTTTAACAAGGTTAAGGAGGAGCGCGCACATCCATGATGAACTCATGCTGACCTCGCCTTCAGGACACCGTCAGAGCTGAACTACATGTAAACTGATAAAAAATACTTCCATTATCCTGAATATAATACCCAAAAGGTCCAATAGCTTCATTTTTTATGTCATTCTTGCAACTTTCCACCATCCCAAAAGATACGTTTCTCTAACAACGTATGAATATATGCAACGTAAAGTTAGTTTGTGGCCTTGATTGTGGATCTTTATATAAAATAGCACAATGTCACATTCTGACAATATAAATAGAAAGTAGTACTCCTTCAACCAAGAGAAATCACTGAATACCAAAGAGAAACAACTCTTGTTTAGCTAGTGTGGATATCCTATCATAAGCAAGTTGACAACACTGGTCAAACAACTCCTGTTAGGAAATATGCATTGCTCAGCCAACATTTTTATTACAAATATCTGGCTTCATTGAATATGTATTGGATGCCGTTAAACTCTGAAGCCCTCATCATCAGGCTCTCAACTTATTACTAATGTGTTATTTGTGACAGTGACCATGTTTTAGTAAATCATTAATCATAATTAATTAGATTTATCTTTCGCCAAAATATATTTTGTAACTGCCAAAACGAAAGGCTGCTATTGTGAATAAGAATGTGTTATTAATGACATCCCTGGTAGAATAGAGGTTGTACAAATTACAATAATGTGTTTTTTCTTCAAGTTATTTAAATCTGAGCCTGAGCAGAATTCTGCATGTACGCTTCTGATTTTAATTTCTTCTAAATTACACATCATTTGGACTTCTTTGTTTATTTAACAATCCATATAAGGACCAAATTACAAGAAATTGATACTCTCTTCCGTCCCATAAATCCACTTGGGAGTTGATCCCAAGTTTACAAAGAGCTGATTAAGCTTCTGGCGGTTTGGCTGTACTGATGTCTCGCCTTCGTAAACAGCTTTTCTTTTACTATTCACTCTGCATGCACTGACTTGTTTTATAATCCTGCATCCAAACACATCAAAGAATTGCCTTCCTGAATGACAGCTGTTTTGTTATTTGCATAATAGTGCTCTGTTTTGTAACCATAAGACCTATTATTACTTTTTTGGATGCTCTTTTATATTTTTGTATGTTTACTTTTTGCTTTTTGTGATTACATTCTGCTGTTTAATATGTTATGTTAACCATGTGTCACCATGTTTCCCTTTTTTACTTCTCTCATGCTATTGCAATAAGGGCATTAAGGGTTTTGTAAGGGTTTTGAAGCTTTGGCAGAAAAAGGCAAATAACATGAAAGGCAGAAGGAGAGTAAATTGTCATCTGAAGGGGGGCTGTAACCACATTTGACAGGAATTCAAGCAAAGTGAGAGAGAGAGACCTGCATGTTCCTGAGGAGCTGGAAGATCTCCATGGTCCTGAGGACAATGTCTTGGACCGTCTCCTGCCCAATGCGACACAGCGAGGCCGTGTTGACATCCCGTGCTGCCTGGGCCTGCTGCTGCAGCTGGGGCAGGGGGGGCTGCCCGCCAAAAGGCGACACTAGCGGAGGGGTTGTCATAGAGCAGGTGAAGATCCTGGTGGAGGATCTAGGTCCAGGTGAGGTTACCTGTCAGGCTATTCCACACCTCCACACCATTACATGCCTACATGAAGGATTTAACACAGAGGAGAATGTAGATGAGGAAGGAGAAAGTAGAAGATGAGTCACAGAATTCACTGTCCTTAATATGAGATGAGTGTCTAAAATGAAAACAGAAGTCACATAATAAATTGTCTTTTTCACAGGGGAATTGTTGCCCCTTATATTTGTTTTACGGGCAAATATCTGAATAATGTGGCAACTGCCCCAATTAATGTATAATGATAGTGGCATCATTTAGCTTGTATATGTAGACAAGTTGAAGTTCATTATTTTCATAATGACAACAATTAGAGAGTATCAGTTCTTGGCAATGAAGAGGCTAACTTATTTCTCAGGCTCTTTCTAACAAGGATCATACAATATGCATAGAAACACATGTAAAAATGCAAATATTAATAAATACAGCAAACGTTAAATATAGTAATGTATAAAATAATATGAATTTGCCTTCAACAGATAGGCCTACACTAAATTCGAATTAATCAACTGTTATGCAAGTAGTTAAAGTAGCGATACAAAATATATAAACAAAGACAGAGCTGTACATCAGACATAGCCTAATGGTATAGTTAATGATGTTTAACATCATTTACACTCAGGAAATGCAGTACATCTCTCAAGTGTAACAGCTGTCACAAATCATTAAAAACGATGCACTATCTAGCTAAACAGATTCAACACTGACAAAGTATCTGAGCTAACGGTATAACCGGAAATATAAGTTATGTAGCGGGGTTTCAGAAACAGTTAAGCGTGCCTTTACATCAGTACTGTCTGTTATATGTTGTCAGTACCACACCCAAAGCATTCAGTGTGATAACGGGATAATTAGCTACCATGTTAACGTGGAGTGGTTGACAGCAAAGCTAAGTGGACCGTCACTCTACACACGGCACTTCAGCTCGGTTTCTTTCTGTGTCGTTTGACTATCCCGACACGACGTGAAACTCAACCCCGCAATGAGTTTTCATATTTATTTCATAGCACATAAGACAACGTGTAATGTTACCTGTGTGGTGATAATGTATCTGTTTTGTTGACATGTCAAGTTCCCTGCTCTGCTCCTAGGATTTTCAGCTACATCAAATATCGCGAGAATTCCACCTAAAACGATGACTGGTTACGGTAAATAATGAAGTAGAAGTGCCACTTGAAAAAATGATTTTAGTTAGTAATGATTTTTTTTAGAAAATAATATATTACAATCTCTAGAAACTGAAATATGATATTCCTTCAGGTTGAAGTGAAACCATGTTTATCTTTGAAATTGCCCCCCTTCCTTCAAATATTTCAAATTAATGACAACGTTTCGGTAAAGCAAGGCGCACAGCAGATTGTACGGGCTGCATAGGGTAACAGCGCCATGTGCTGGTCTACTCTTCTATAACAGCCAAGTCACACACATCTGCCTTCTTCATGCCTCAGGCCAATTTACGCCACATGATTGCTTCTCATGGGTCATTATCACTTTTTTAGTAAGGCTTAAATCAAAATCCTCCCATAAATGGGTAGGTTGTCTGCTCTGTAGCCTTTATATAAATAAATCATTCAATGCATCCATCCATCCATGTATTGCTTATAAAGTATAGCTGTGCTTGGATTAATTTGTGAGCCATCCGAATTCAAATTAATTTGAAATACAAGAGAAATAGACTGGGCTGCTTCCTCAGCATGTGCTCTGCCATGCAGCAGAATTACTGCTCTGACTCACAGAGCCTGCAAATAAGAGGGAAAAGGAAAGGTTTGCCTTTAGGCCTGAGTGGGGCTGAAAAGTAGACTAGTCAGCCTATTACTTAATTTACATTATTTATTCTAATTTGGAGCTGTATTTCAACTTCTTCTATCTGGAACATATATTCGGTAATAACAACCATTGTTAATTGTTCTCTTTCTCTAAAAAAAACACCCTATCTGCAATATGCAAAACTGATGTGAAAGCTATGTTTTTAGTTCACTTGACTTCTTACTTGCATAAGTGCTGGTTAGGATGAATGATCGTTACAATCTGCATCTGTTGTATACAGCCTGACCAACTGAGGCATGCCACTTGGGAATAAGTTTCCCCATAATCATCCAGCCTGTCTTCTTATTGTGCTTAATTGGGACGAGAGAGTATGGAGAGTGAGTGGGGGCCAGTTGTGAGATGAATATCCCAGTTGTAAGAAACATTTGTTTTTGTTTTAAATCTATCATTCAAGTTCATTCACACATCATATTCATATTACAGATTAGACAAGACAAATTAGTGTGTGAGTGAGTGTGTTGATCACATCAAGGCAAGCTGACAAAAAACAATTCCAATTTCATTTATATATAGTATAAAACAAAATGTAATCAAAGACCTATGTTCATCACAAGGTGTGTTATCAAGGTGATAAACCCTTGTGCAAAATGCTTGGCACCATGTGCCGCTGCATGTTTGTAAGGCTTCTTGAATATAAAAACACGTCATACAACACAAATTACCTTGAAACTGATGGCACTGCATTGTATCATTAATGCTGAAAGGACTTGGACCTTGAACATAAAAAAGGGTGAGACCGACACTGACAGAGGGGAGAAAGATAGATTAAGTGGTTGGGAATGGAGGACGGAAAGCAAATAGGAGAGCGTAGAAAAATGGTTGGAGAGGAAGCAACAGGGAGCAAAGAACAAAACAAATGGAAAGATAACACCCCTTGTGATGAAACTGTATTATAATTAGCTGAGGGGGTATCAGGACTAAAACAGGATTATATAGCCACCTAGTGCATTACTCCTGCTTTAATTAAATACACACTGATCTGGTCCCTGCAGGGCTAAGTTCAGAGGGAGACAGAAGGGAGTACAATGGTCTGCTCTGAAGGCAGCGGCATGTAAAGCTTACAGCAAATGTCACTTTACAAAGTCTCTAGGAGAGGATTAGTATGGCTGAAGGTATGAGAAACACGGATAAACGGCATGAATGGGATGTAACAGGGAGAACAGGGGCTGGTGTGCATACTTATAAATATGTACAGTACAGGCACTTGCTATTCACTGAGGGCCATGGCTTACTGTGTCGGTTAGAGCAGGTTGTTGTTGGTTGGATGGTGTTGGAGTCAGGACGGCTGATCATTTATTCCGGCAAATTACTCAGACCTACTAATTGACCTAACAGAAGTTATTGAGTCCATGTAAGTGTACTGCTTGGCTCAGATCCACCAACGTCAGCAAGATCTCACCTATATTAACTCCTGAAGAACCAGGTTTAATTAACTGCTCTTTCAATTCAGACGACCCGCTAAATCTGTTTAAGCGATCCCGAAGGATTTTGATATCAGTAAATGAGGTGTGGCCCTACCCAGAGCCCTAGATACTAAAGAGGCTTCTCAATTCTTATATGTCCCCTCCTCGACTCCCCTCCTCGAGATTTAGTCCCGCCCACAGGAGATGCGAGCGGAGGACCGAGGAGGGGAACCGAGGAGAGAGGAGGGGAAGCAGCAGATGTGAGCCTCATCCCAATACCCCTCCTCGACTCCTCCTTTCCCTCACTCGCTTCCATTCCTTGCGTCTTAGCTCCGCCTCCGTAAGATGCGAGCGAGAGACACGAGGAGGTGACGCGAGGACAGAGGAGTCCTCAGGTATTAATTGGGATGTCCTCGTTCACTCAAACGTCACTTTTAAACGACGTCTGTTAATGATGACATGTGCACAGCTGTATCCCCTCTCATCGGGCTTAACTGAATAACCCTTTAGAACCGGCCCATAAATTGTTAAATATTTATTTAAATGAATGAATCTTTCTCTTGTTAATCAAGGAATTCAATGATGGTTGGTCCTGCTTTTGTGTTCCGTTTCAACACACTCTCACTCCATAATCGTCCAGGAGCGACGTTTGGTCAGGGTCCCGTGGCGTGCAGTTGTGACGCTCCTAGGCTCCTTCAGCTTCATAAAGGGACGCAAATAGCTTTCAACTGATTGCAATGTATTCCCATCTGCGGCGGGATTTGACGCTCATGGAAGCACGGCATTCGTTTGTGTCGGCTGCCCTTAAAGGCAATGCGAGCGTCCATTCCCATTGGATAACAGAGAATTGTACACCCGGAAGTAAGTATTCCCCTTACTGTCGATTGATTTTACAGTGATATCTGCACTACTCATCGACTAAAAAACACCAGATTATCCTTGTTAATTACACAACATTGATTGGTTTAAATTGTGGGCAATGCTTTTGTATTTTTCCCCTTCGATTCGGAGAAACAAATATTTTTTCGGAGTAAAGGATGGCAGAAGACACTACACTACCCAGAATCCCCAGCTATCGTTTAGGACTACACCATGTGCTCTGTTTGACAAACCCCGTGATTAGTTCTCAAGCTCTGTGATTGGTTGACCTCCAACTGCATTCCATATGAAAAAAAAAAACGTTTCGTAAAAGATAAAATCATACTTTATTCAGCAGTGCTTGCTTTACTCTTTGAAAGTCATCACATGAATGCATTGTAATAAATGGTTCGGCTGCATTAAATATATTACACATCTGTCGTAGTTCTTTATTTTTATTTATCTACAGAGATCGGGCTCAGAATAGAGAGGCGAAGTCCCTCCCCTTCCGGGAGCCTCCATGGGACCCCGGAAGCGGAAAATTATACATTGAAGTCAATGGAGAGAGAAAGGTTATCTTTTGATTCCGTTTGAATTGTGCCACGAATGACACATATGATGTTTGTCAATTTAAAAGAACATTTTGCAAGTCAAAAAAATAAAAATATGTCGTAAAACTGTGAAGTTACACATTTGTTTGTGTGAAACCGCTCAGTGAACTACAGGTCTCTGGTCTCGCACAATACGCGTCACCATCAAAAAGACGGCCGTCACGTTAGCAAATTTCACCTGTTTCTTTCAGAATGAGGCGAAAAGTATAAAACGAGGTGAACATCACTACAAGTCTGGGCATGTTGAGAGCTGTACATACACGAAAGGGGAGTTAGTCGGTTCTGTAAGAGCCAGCATGCGGGACCGGTGAGTAATATGAGTGCAATGTGTAACGTTAATGTCAGCTAGCTAACATTAGCTAACAAGGTACACTAACGTGTTTTGTTTTAGTAACTAGTTTTCTCCTTAAGAACTTAGTGGTCTCTGTGTATGCTGTGGATAACATTAGTGTTCACAAGAACAAGGTACACTCCCGTGTTTTGTTTTAGTTGCTCTTCCGATTGAAGCGGATAGTTTTATATCGACTATACTGTATGTGTGATCTCCTTTTTCTCGTTGTGTCATTTGACTTTATTTGCTGTGTGTCGATTCAAGGATTTTGGTTATCTAGGCACAGCTGTGTGTGACTCCCTCTGGTACACTGGTATGTGTTTTCCTAATGTAGAGAGCATTGATTAATTAATAAACTACACACTGAGTCTAGATCCTGACCAAATCCTTTTTTATTGTTGATCAAATGTTTACATTTTTTTTATTCATACACATTTAGAAAAATACAATGTACAATCACAACCAATACAACACAAATTACAAAAAATACAGAAAAAACAAACAATAACAACAATCAGACAAGAGGACAAAACTATGGAAAAATAAACCCTCCCACCCCCAGATCCGGACCGTCCTTGTATTATTGCTCATTCAATCTATTATAGCATGCTAACAAATGGTACTTACTTTATTTTTACAGATCTGCATGGGAGACGATGGCGCGATGCAGAGATACATCGATACATCGATACATCGCCAACTGTCAACTGGGGGGTTGTAAACGAGGCCGAAGGGGTGAAGGCTTTTGTGCAGGCCTATCGGGTGACAGTGTTCGAGTCTGGTCTCTTTGTGAGTGAGTCGGGTGTTTTGGGAGCATCACCCGATGGACTTGTGCAGCCATCTGCCCTGCTGGAGGTGAAGTGTCCACACAGCCAGCGGAACATGACCATCGCGGAGGCAGTCCAGTTACCATCCTTCTGTCTCTGTGAGGAGGCTGGGTCATATATTCTCAAGGAGAATCACCCATACTGGCACCAGGTCCAAGGGCAGCTGCATATCACAGACCGGAGTCTCTGCTACTTTGTTGTGTGGACCACGAAGGAGGCGATCATCATCATCCCCATCCCCAAAGACCCTGCATGGCATGGAAATCTCCTCCTCCTGGAACAATT